TGTCAGTTTCTTCTATCTCTCTCATGTTTCTTCCATTTACATTGTAACTCAGTGGCTTCTGACTTCACACCTGTCATCATGTAGCTTGTCAGTTTCTTCTATCTCTCTCATGTTTCTTCCATTTACATTGTAACAAACATAGAAATTAAGAAATTGGTCCATTATTTACTTCATCTAACTTTCAACACTTTGGTTAAATTAAAGCTTCTGGATGTTAAATTAACTCTTGTGGAATATAATTATTATTCTCAGTAAATATTTTTTCTCTACACAGGGGTTTTTATCACAGACTCCCTTAAACAAGCTGTTGGAAATGAAGCCATAAAACTTTTAGTAAACGTAGATGAAGAAGACTATGAAAGAGGAAGACGTATACTTCTCCAAAATCTGCAACAAATACAGTGATAAGCAGTTGTTCATTTCAAAGTAAAATCTGTGGATAAGCATTATGTTACCAGTTGAGACTTTAAAGCAGCTTTGGCTTTCTTGTATATTAAAGATCATTATTGTTCCTTTACTTCATTGGATCATCTGTTTTGAAGAAATAAGATCATAGATTAAGTGGCACATACATTTATATACATATTATTATAATAATTTAAATAATAAAAAAAAAACAGAGAGATCAGCCTATTTTTACTGGGCCTGGGGGTGTCAGATGAAATAATTAAATTGAGGCTGGAACCATATATATTGTACAATATTAATTGTTAGTATATATATATATATATATTTTGCACTTATCACTTTGTTGTAAACACTCATTAGTTTGGTAGAAGGAAATTTGAGTGATTACTAATGTTCAATTGTTCTTAATTTTCCCATACTTAAAAAATTATTACTTTCACTAACTAATTATTTATCATTGGAACATTTTTCAAGGATTTGCAAAAGCTTTTGGAATAATTTTTTTCTGTATTGTTGAAGTTCATACATATAATTTGTTTTGTAAGGGGTTGAGTAGATTAATAAGAAGGTGCCTCTCATGCTTTGCATGAAGTTTTGTTCCTATAGGCATTGAAGAATAATAGACTCAGGTTCCTACAAGCTAAATACCTCTCGAGTAGTGAGACCCATTTTTCTGAAACGTTTTGACATTTCAACTAATCAAGGTACTGCTCTTTTTATTTCTTGTTTTGTAATGGCAGTTGAAACCCCACAAGAAGCATATTGTTTAGTCTATAAAAGAAGTAATTAAAAAAGGATAACATTTTTTTATCCAGCGGATTTGTGTCAAGTAAGCAAAAAGTGTACATCTTTAAAATGTGTTTGAAGGAACATTTAACTTTTTTTACAATGTTCTTTAAATCATAATGGTTGGTTAAATTTTCTGCTTATACTGTATCATACGATAAAAAAAATTGAAAGAAAGGGTTCTTGTTCCCCCTCTCAAATGCATATGTAATTCTATTAAAACATAGGCTTAACTTAAAGTATATGTAGTGTCACACACACATGGTGTTAGAAAAACACGTAGGTTCAAGAAGTCTTGATAGAAAAAAAAAAAAAACTATAACCCAAACGCTTTTGAAAGTGCTCGGGTTATAGGGTCTTTATTCATTTCTAGTGTCAAACATAGAAGTTATTTGACTCTTAAGCAACATTTCCTAATAATTAACTTTGAAACATGTGACTGCTAGTTATACATTTTTGTTATAACTGCTGTGTGGGTTTTCACTTAACAATATTTGTGCTAAAAGTTATTAAGTACATAAAATCTAATGAAAACAAATTATTGTATGTTACTTATATATGTAGCAGAATAATTTTCTTTTGACAAATGGTAGCCCAACTAAAGTCATGATATATGCTGTAATTAAATCATTTATATTGATAACTCTACCATCAAGTTAACTGACGAAAATGTACATAGCTTAATACCTTTGAATGGTGAACAAGTGTGATTTGTCTTTTGTTACAAAACTCATTCTAATCAAACTGCAAGCAGATCTAAAATGGTTTATAGTGGCAGTCCAATTCACAAAGAGTTCACCCAGATTATAAAAAAATCAGACTTAGCAGAACAACAGTAATTTTTTTTAGGTATGCCTTATTTCTAACATATGTTATACAATAATTTTGTTGTTGTTTTCTTTATTCATTACCTAAATGTTATATCATAAGCATCTCCTATTTTTTTTTTTTTGTATTCTATTGCAATTGAATTTACCTGAAAAAATACTATTTCTGTCTGTGATGAAAGTGACAAAGTTACAGTAAGTATAAGTAGCTAGAAAGAAATGTGGGGTCCTCTCATTAATTATATTATTAAATGCAGCTTTCTTCAAAGATTTAAAAAGTAGCTACTTAGAACTTGCTAATGGTTGTTTACATTCACCCAGTAGATCAACTTCGTTCAATGAAACATTGGTAAGTGTGCTAGATTGTGGAAAAAAGGAGCTACACACTATGGGGCCTTGGGTGCATTATAAGTGTGACAGTCAAATTCCACTATTCGGTCTGACAAGAGTAGCCCAAGATTTGGCGGAGGATAATGTTGACTAACTGTCATCCCTGTAGCCTGTTACTTCACAGTTAGGGATGGGTAGCACAAATATCCTTTGAGTGGACTTGCAAAAATGCAACAAACCAGCAAACAGTCATTCAATCCAGGATGCACAATATAATTTTAATGAAATTATTTTTGTTCTGTGATGAATCTCCAGCATAAAGTAATGTGATATATATTAAAATGCTTGTAAACTGGCTATTTCTACTCGTAACTCCTTGACTGTTATGTAAAGGAACCATGCACATTCTATTCCAAAGATATAAAATTATTATAATTCTAAGAATGAAATCCAGGTGCAGTTTCTTATTGGTGAACGGTATGTTTCTAAACATGTGTAAAATCCTTTTATGTTACTAGCAGTTGTGTTTTGTTAAAAAAAAAAAGGTTTTAAGAGTATCACAGAGGTTAGACAATGTAAAAAAGGAAAGGGTTTCTTGATATATTTGTGTTTGTTCCTTTAATTTGTAATTCTTAATCCAAATGAGTATTGTAAGGCAAGCAATACACTGTACAATGCCTTTGAATATCAACAACAGGAAAAAATTCTAAACATAACACCTAAATTTATACTTTGCAGAAACTTTACGAACTTTGTTGAAAGTGTAATAATTATACTGGCTGCCTAAGGCTGAAATTTAAAGATCAACCATCAGTGAACTGAACAATTTCAAACATTTTTTAAGTGGTATGTGCCAGGAACAATTAATTTTGTAATTGATAGATGAAATATTTTTCATTATCAAGCTATATTTTGTTTCACTGAAATTTTTAAGACAGGTGTGTTAATTTATTTATTCAATCAGAACTTTATGTGTAATTTTTGAACTGGAATTGAGTGTTATCAGTAGTATGTGCATGTTTGTGTTGTGTGTTTAGATGGAGAGTACATGCTTGTGATCTCAAGGAAAAAGAGAGTTCTAAAGAAAGTTGGATCTTTTCTCTATTCATTGGGTATGTAGTTTTTTGCATAATTTCCCTGTTTGTGTTCCAAAGAAAGTTGGATCTTTTCTCTATCCATTGGGTATGTCGTTCTTTGCATAATTGTCTTATGTTCCAAAGAAAGTTGGATCTTTTCTCTATTCATTGGGTATGTGGTTCTTTGCATAATTTCCCTGTTTGTGTTTTGGAGAAATTCATATCTTTTCTCTATCCATTGGGTATGTGGTTCTTCGCATAATTATCTTGTTTGTGTTCCAAAGAAAGTCATATCTTTTCTGTATCCATTGGGTATGTCGTTCTTTGCATAATTGTCTTGTTTATGTTTCAAAGAAAGTCAAATCTTTTCTCTATCAATTGGGTATGTGATTCTTTGCATAATTTCTTTGTTTGTGTTCCAAAGAAAGTTGGATCTTTTCTGTATTCATTGGGTATGTCGTTCTTTGCATAATTGTCTTGTTTATGTTTCAAAGAAAGTCAAATCTTTTCTGTATCCATTGGGTATGTGGTTCTTTGCATAATTTCCTTGTTTGTGTTCCAAAGAAAGTTGGATCTTTTCTCTATCCATTGGGTATGTGATTCTTTGCATACTTTTCTTCTTTGTGTTCCAAAGAAAGTTGGATCTTTTCTCTATCCATTGGGTATGTGATTCTTTGCATAATTTCTTTGTTTGTGTTCCAAAGAAAGTTGGATCTTTTCTGTATCCATTGGGTATGTGATTCTTTGCATAATTTCCTTGTTTGTGTTCCAAAGAAAGTTGGATCTTTTCTGTATCCATTGGGTATGTGGTTCTTTGCATAATTTCCCTGTTTGTGTTTCAGAGAAAGTTGGATCTTTTCTGTATCCATTGGGTATGTGGTTCTTTGCATAATTTCCTTGTTTGTGTTCCAAAGAAAGTTGGATCTTTTCTGTATCCATTGGGTATGTGGTTCTTTGCATAATTTTCTTCTTTGTGTTCCAAAGAAAGTTGGATCTTTTCTGTATCCATTGGGTATGTGGTTCTTTGCATAATTTTCTTCTTTGTGTTCCAAAGAAAGTTGGATCTTTTCTGTATCCATTGGGTATGTGGTTCTTTGCATAATTTCCCTGTTTGTGTTTCAGAGAAAGTCAGATCTTTTCTCTATTCATTGGGTATGTGATTCTTTGCAAAATTTTCTTCTTTGTGTTCCAAAGAAAGTTGGATCTTTTCTGTATCCATTGGGTATGTGGTTCTTCGCATAATTTTCTTGTTTATGTTCCAAAGAAAGTTGGATCTTTTCTCTATTCATTGGGTATGTGGTTCTTTGCATAATTTTCTTGTTTGTGTTCCAAAGAAAGTCATATCTTTTCTGTATTCATTGGGTATGTGGTTCTTTGCATAATTATCTTGTTTGTGTTCCAAAGAAAGTCATATCTTTTCTGTATTCATTGGATATGTGGTTCTTTGTATAATTTCCCTGTTTGTGTTTCGGAGAAAGTCAGATCTTTTCTCTATCCATTGGGTATGTGATTCTTTGCATAATTTTCTTCTTTGTGTTCCAAAGAAAGTTGGATCTTTTCTGTATTCATTGGGTATGTGATTCTTTGAATAATTTCCTTGTTTGTGTTTCGGAGAAAGTTGGATCTTTTCTGTATCCATTGGGTATGTGATTCTTTGCATAATTTTCTTGTTTGTTTCTTTTGACATATCACATTACTGTATAATTCTGCTCAAATAGCAGCTTTTTTCCCTCCAGTTCTACTGTTTTCACTTCAAGTCAGAGTTGTTAAGATATTAATAATTTTGGTAATTTTAACAGAAATCTTCTTTCAGAGATTAAAATATTCAAGTTCTTTTGTCAACATCTTTGAGTAGAATTAAACAGTTTAAATAAATTGAAAACTGAATACATGTCAGAATGTTTCAAAAATTGGGTCTTGCTATGTTAAATTAATCTCCTATTTTAAAATCTAAATTACCAACTGGTATTTATACCTTTTGCTTCATGCAAGTTCCTATTTTTAATTAGATTTGTCAATTTAAAATTAACATAACTACATCTACTGAATAGGAAATATCATTTGATGTATTTGCAGTGCATTTCAAGATTGATATTAAACAAGTTGAATATCAGTGGTACAGCCCAGGAATTTTCAAATGTCAACTTTTTGTTTTAATATACACGTGAAAATTATTTTCACATAGTGAACAGCATTTGTTAAGCAAAATATAAATATCTGAACACTTTCATGTGTTTCTGTGTTGTACTTGAGGGTTATATAAGGGTCACTATTGAATTACTTTAAGTGTGTAGTAAAATATGATAATTTTTCTGTTGTAACTACACCTTTTGTGTGTATGGTCTTACTGTACAGTTCTGCCAAAATGCCCAAATTTTATGTATTGCCTATGTCAATTTAAAAAAGTTATACTATATAACTACTACTAATCAATGCAATTGTGTGTATGTGTGTGCATGAGTTATTTTATACTTGTTTTTGTACCAGTTTTTGTGGTTAAGAGATGTTATAAGTGTTATTGTAAATATTTGAAAAGTATTAGAGAGGAGTGTAAGCTTTCGTTTATATTGTTTAATTGAAAAGTTGCATTTTTATTATCACTAGAATTGTCTAAAACTGACATTTTGTTCCAATTTATATGACTTTTACCATAGTAACAACCAGAAGCATTCGTGAATATGTATTGGATCAGACTTACAGAAGCTTCCCTCACTAAAATAAACAATAAATTGTTTACTTCTACCCTTACTTTAGATCAGTCATTTTACATGAGGACTTTATTCCCTGTAGTGACACAGCGGTATGTCTGTGAACTTACAATGCTAGAATCCGGGTTTCGATACCGTGGTGGGCAGAGCACAGATAGCCCATTGTGTAGCTTTGTGTGTAATTACAAACAAACAAATCTCTGTAGTAAATAACAAAACTCCTAAGGCTTTCCAAAACTTAGTATCAGATGTTGAAAAATTGACAGTTCACTTTTAACAGTCTTTTGCTTTGTCATTTATTAAGGTTTTAATATTTCACTCATTGTGTGTTAATGAATAGTTACCATTGATAAGAGCTTTTCTTCTATTAAAATCTCAGCCCTCACAAAGTACTTCTTGTCTACAGTTATAAATCTAACATAACTCTCGAAATCTTACTTTTAGGAACATAACTGGCATTCAGTTAATTGTAAGAATTAAGACATAGTATCTAAGCTCTGTCAGAACAGCTATTAATTTCTTACTTTCAAAAGTAAAACTCTTAGCTCTGTCAACATAACCTGCAGAATCTTACTTCCAATGGTTCCAGTATAACTCATTTTAGGTGTGATGACATAAATCAGTAAATAAAATTCCTATTATTATTAGTGTCTTAACTATATCAACATAACCACCAATATCTTACTTCCAAACATACCAATATCACTCTCATTTTAGCTCTGTCAACTTAATTTTAAATTTATGTCGAGAGCTGAAATTAAGTTTTTGTCACATTAAAAGCAGTGATATTTTCTTTGACATTTATATGTCTGAACATACAGGTTTATAAAGAAATGCTTATATATGTAAGACTTTTGAACTTTCGTATTCTACTTATTTGTTTCATTTCCAAAAGTAAATACTATTTATTGATGATAATTTAAATATTGTGTTGCTCGTGAGCATCAAGCCCTTTGTACATGTCTAAAGATTACTGATGCAAGTGTGCACAGTAACTGGATGCTTATGAAATTAAATAAATTTACTTCATATTGTAAACACACAAGTGGATAAATTTACAGAATTCCTCCATGTAGGTTAATGAATCTTGATATGTTGGATTGGAACCGTTGCATGTTTCCTGTATTTAAATACACACGTTTTTTTAGAAATGTGTAAAATAAAAAATACAGCAGTTTTTCCAGAAATAATTCCTTTTAAGATGTAATATCTCTATATATATATATAATTATATAACTATTTTTTACTCTGTTGGTATCTTGACCAAAGGCACAGTTATCAGTAAAAGTTTGTTTTACTGCACAACTCCAGTGAAGATGTGTCAGTTAAATTATTTAAACTGTTTTTTTCTGAATGTGCGAAACAAATTCAAATGATTATTCCTCATTATATTGAAAAACATCAACTTTATAACCATCTTATGTATAATTTATATGTTGTATTATACGATATTTAATGTAAATTGTTAGAATCTGTTTTTAGGTAGACATTTGGCTTCATTTGCCACGCATATTAAAGCAAAAATGAAATTTCTATGTTTAATAGAAGTAATGCATCATGTTGCCATTAATAGTTAGTAATAGAACTGTCATTATGGATGTAATTTAAAAGCAGTTTATATTGGAGATACTTATTCTAAAAAGTTATGTTAAAGCACAAAAGAGCAGTTGCAAAACCTTTGTTTTTTGTACTATACATATAAGAATTGTGGAAAATTTACATTTTTTGTAAATATAAATTCATTTATAGCCTTCAGGCTATCTGTATGTACTCCAGTATTTCATATAGGATTTGTTGAATGAAATACCTCCTAATGTTTTGTGGGAATACCTGCTGGTGGCAGGTGTAGCATCATATTTATATAGTTTCTCCTATGATTTCAATTCATGCATCAAAATATGAAAACAAGGTATTTTTTACAAGTAGAAATTATTCAGTATTCCTCTTAAATATGAAAATGATTCTTTTTATAAATTTAAGGGTAATATTTTTGGCCTAGATTTTGGATCAGAATGTCTCGTTATGAAGTTACGGTAGTTGTCGCTGAAAGCATGTACTTCTGTCACATATAATGAAAAATGGCATCCTTAATCTTGACTTGATCCGTTCACTCTTGTTACTTAAGGATATAACTACAAAAGCAATTTGACAAAGAAGGGAATTTTTGTATGTGTTTACAAGCTACTAGAAATAGTTATCAGTTCATATTTATATGCCCCCAGTGACTCGGCGATAAGGCTATAGGCTTATAATGCTAAAAACCATGGTTCAATACTTGTGGTGAACACAGCACAGATAGCCAATTGTGTAGCTTTCTGCCTAACAACAAACAAACAGATCATTTCTACACACCTATAATTTGCAGTTTTCAGGAGTTAAGTGATTGTAAAAAAAGTGTGGACACTTACATATAGCAATTTGTAAAATATAATGTGCAATATGATAGGTTAGTTGGAAATGTGTCTAACCTACAGTAATATTCTTATCTGAATGAACCATATTATGATTATTGAACAACAACTTAAAAAATATTTTGTTGAATTTGTTAAAGAACTGTACAAACTTGAAGTTGATCCTCTATAACTAGTAGATAATGCAAATGCTATACCTCATTTGAATAATTTAAGGTCTATGTTATTCAACTCTTATCAGAGGGTATTTAACATTTATATACTGTCATTTATGGGCAAAATTAATAAAATCATGCATTATTCCAATAGTAATATACTCCTGGTAGTTGGTTTAATAAGATTTTATAAATGAATTTGCAAACTTGCTTTAAATACATTAAAAAACTATCAAATAATGTTTCTTGTATTCTTGAATTTTCATAATACTTTTCATTACGTTATCAAATTTAACCATGTTTGTGGTATAAAGGTCTCAGACTAGTGAAAGAAGTTTCCCCACAGAACGAAATCTCTAAGTATACTCAGGTTTAAAGCCATTGATTATTCAAATTAAAAAGAAAAATTGGTGAAAGAATTATACACTAAATAGTTGGGTCTCATTCACATTTGGCTCTTTCATAGGCGTGAACATCGGGATTCGTTAAGCCTCAATTTCATATCCAAAGTTAAGGGTAATCCTTATACAGTGGTTACTGAAACCTTTATTGATGAAATCCAGCACTACTTGACTTTACATTGTAAGGTTTGTAGTTAAAAAATATAGTGTTAAAAACTTATGACTTACAGAGTTTGACGTGCTAGGTTTTATAAACTAAGTTTCATTATTTTTCAGTGGGGATATGAGGCACGTTTTATTTTTGGAATGTAACTGATATTACCTTTATGGTAATGTATTACAAAATTGAAAAAATAGACAGAATTATGTTAGCAGCTTTCTTTAACAGAGATAAGTTTCTTACATAAAGATTTTTAATCACAATTATATTACTAATGTGACAGAAAATTCAACAGGATGGTTTTTGTATGATAAATTGTGTCAAAAAGTGTACTAAGTGGTGTTATTGAATTATATGAAAAAGATATCACAAAATGAATAGATTGAATTCAGACAATGGTTTTTCATAAATGAAAATAAGGGGTACTTCTTGCTGATTTGTTTAAACACCTCGCTATTTGTTTTAAGTATATTTTAATTGTTGTAAATGTATAAATTGTTAAGTGTTGTGAAATTCATTATGCTGGTTAGTAAAGGACTTTCCGTGCTCCTTCAGTATGGAATTTTAAGAATAATATATATCTTAAAACAGTTATAGTGCCAGACCTGTGTTCTTCTCTGTATGTATTTATATGAACGTTTGTAGTTTATTATAACACTGAAACTTGTGTATTATTTGTCTTCCCAATTAATTAAAATTTTATTTACCAAATATTAATGTTTGTCGTGTTTTAAATGAAAGAATGGCCCTCTCAATAAACCAGAGTTATCTAGAAGGTTTCATATGTGACAATTGATTTACAAACATATAGTGACAAAAATTTTTAGTGGTTTTAAATTTGAAGTATTTTTGCTTTAAACACAAAAATAATTCTCCATCCTCAGAGAGGTAACTGTCTAGGTTAATGATGGTTGCTTTCTGGACAGAAAATAGCCTGTGTGGTTTATAACATTACATTGGTACTAATGCTCTAGAATTTGTCCGTAGTAAACCATGGAACACCACTTGTATGTGACTTCTTCTCCCACATAAATTCGTCCAGTTCACTGTTCTCGAAATCAGTCAGTCCAACATCAGATGATTCTCCCATGGAACATCACCAGTTGAAATTGGCTGACGAGTTCCGTGGTATGCCAGAACCAAAGTTGGCGGTGGCTACCTTCATTCTGTAAGTGATACCTTCTAGATGTTTCACCTCTCAGTGGTATGCCAGAACCAAAGTTGGTGGTGGCTACCTTCATTCTGTAAGTGATACCTTCTAGATGTTTCACCTCTCGGTGGTATGCCAGAACCAAAGTTGGCGGTGGCTACCTTCATTCTGTAAGTGATACCTTCTAGATGTTTCACCTCTATCTCCATTTGCCTTGATAACCCTATACGGTATCAAACCTTTTGTTCCCTTAAAATTTGCATTGTGGGCATTTACTTATCATTTACTATTTTTTTTATGGTACAAGTTTTTTTTTTTTTCCTTTTTTGATTTAATCATACCACAGTGAACTTGTGATTTTTCAAATAAGTTGCTTGATATAGTAATTGTAGATACTACAACACTAGTTGGCCATATAGCAGACGATGATAATGTAGGCCAGTACTGTTAATTAAAATAGAGCCAGCGTTATTGATGGAATGGACAATCTTTAGAGCAAAAAACGTGGCTTTTGTTGTTTCAAAGGCATCAATAATAACAATTCCTTTCTCTATCGTGTAATTCAGTGTTGGAATCCATAGCTTGACCAGCTTGGGACACGTTCTAGTAGGCTAATATGTTACCCCTAAAACGAATGGGGGTGGACGTTATAATAGAACGCTATAGAAACGGTAACGATTTATAAGAAAAGACAAATATTATTAAATAGATTACATGAAGCAGCATCTATTGCTACTGCAAAGCTAATTGGCCAGACAGCAACGCTAACTGTATAGATATTGTTTATTCAAACATACCTCTGCGAATAACGTGACTATAGTTGTCTCAAAGGCTGCAGTAATATCAGAGTTAGGAATTTTGTTCAAATTTTATAACAAACCTGTTGCCCATAGTGTACGTCGATGTTGGACGCCATTTTTGCAATTGTTTCACAAGCTATCTCCTAAGGCAAAATCTTCGTGTTTTGGAGTTTTAGGTTAACAAATGTTATAGACATTTAGTAATAAAACTGGATGGTCGTATAAACAGGTTTATGAAAAAGTTATTTATTACATATAGTTCTTTATTTTTATAATACGTGATGCTCCATTATCAATGTTCCAGACAGCTTTTATCATTATCAGGTGTGATTGATGTAGAACGTATTGACTAAACAGACGCCACAACTTGTTGATGGGAGATTTTAGACTCATTATAGCGTTAGTTCAACAAGTATTTATTCTAAAATATTAAGTTTATATTTTTGATTTTAAAATACGCTAAAAAAATCCAAGATTTTAAGTAGTAGACTTAATAAGTTGTGGCCACAGTCTATGGGAAAAGACTGCATTGTTATACGGAGATTGCATTCATCATTGGTCTTGGTTAATATGTGAAGTGTGACGTAGTTGTTCATTCATATCACGTTAAGATCTTTACTTGAGCCATCTGCCCCTGTTTGGACAGTGGTACGTTTACCAACTTAAAACGTTAAAATCCAGGGTTCGATCCCATATGGATTTGCTTTTAAACAAACGACTAAGCAACCTGTACTCTCAATCTTTCTGTAGATCTGTATAGATAAGTAGTAAATCGTTTATCCCACATGACTCCACCCACAGCAAAGACAAACTAAAATGGTTAAACGACATAAATAGTATTCTGGTGTAGGAATGGAATAAAAACAACTGTTCATACGAATTTAGAATACACCTATCTGAAGGATATTGCAGGAAGACGGACTTTAAACCAGAATAAGGTTTTTTTCATTATTTTACTTTGAAATGAAGACAACGAACCTCATAAATGTAGAGGCGTCCGAACCAGGGGTGCTGTAGCACACCCACTTTTACATATTTAACTTATTTAGCAACTGTAAATTATATTATATTAATATTCTGGGGGTATTTAACAGCTTCTTATACTTCAAATCTGTCATTGTAAAATCTGCATGTCTAGAGAAGCACCGACCCCATTGCAACTCCTTCCCATACCACTGAAACGGAATTAAAAACTAGAAATTTCGGCACATTGAGCTAGTGGTCAAAGTTTGTTTTATGACACTGCTGTTGATCGAAATCAGAAATGCTTTTTTTTTTTTTGGCTCTCCAAGTCTTGATGAAACTCTCTCTTTAACCTGACTTTTTTAATAGTATGACAGTCTGGATCAACGTACGATGCAAACGGAAAAGTCGGAAAGTGTAGTGAAGGTTGCGTTCTCAGGAATAGTTATAACTTTTTAAAAATATGTTTAAAAACCTAAAAATAAATGTCATTCTTTTATAACTAGAGTTGAGGATTTCTGGTGTTATAGGAGGACTGTAAAGAGAACTCCATATTTAAAAGGATAATATCTTAAGAAGTACTTGCCCTAGAAACCAACATTCACCAGAGACGAAGTAAGAATTATTACCCATTCACGCCATCTACAAGCATTATGAGAATCGTGTTCTCTTCAGGAATGTTTTAGATATGGTTCAAAAAAGTAGCATTGTTCTTATGCTTTTGTTTCTTTGAACAATGTAATATGGTTATTTGAATAAAATGCACATCAGTAGGCAGGATATTGTGAAGATCAATCTACACTGTTAAGAACGGATATTCCTTGCTGTAGCTTGACTTAAAGGTGGGATTAATTGCTGATTTACACTGTTAAGAACATATTCCTTGCAGTAGCTTGATTTAAAAATAGGCTTAATATGCTGACTTACATTGTTAAGAATGGATATTCCTTGCAGAACCTTGACTTAAAGATGAGCAGAAAATGACGGAAAGAATATTTAACACCTTATTTGATAGGTTTTGAAACACCATGAACAAACTAATGATTCTCATTGTACATTTGAGGAAATATAATTTCCCTACGACAATATATTATTCTAAATATGAGAGTTTCAATATAATCACCTTGTACTTTAAATTGGAATTCGCAATTTGTTACAATAAAACAATTTTGATCTTTTTATTTATGTTATAATTTAAAGAACAAGAATAAAAGTGGAGAAAGTTTGACTGGGTAGTGAAGAAAACTTTATTATAAATGTATGACATTTCGACAAGATTATAGTTTACAGAGGCAGATGAATATATATATATATATATATGCAGTATGGAATAAAGAGGTCGAAACGTCATACATATATAAACTCAAAATTTCTCTGTCCGCCGCGTTCACTTCGTAGGTCACACTTCCCTCACGTGAAGGTACGCAAAACGACAATTTGACGTTGATATACGCAACTATTGTCTGCTAGCTGAACTAGTAATTTTATCGTTAACATGATTTACATGGTTGTGATTCTACGCAGACTTGACATTTTTGGGTAAGTTTGAGTTAACATTTAATTTGGAATATAGCATTAGAATAGATAGGCCAACTTAGTTATAGATCATTAATTATAGATCTACCAATACATCATATATTTATCCTCTCACACAAAAAAAAATTGTATGCACAATTGGTATGTCATGTGTGAAAAAGCAAATAGTAGGCCTAGCCTATAAAATAAAATTATGCCGTCTGCATAAAATAGACTACGTGAAAAGAGAAGGACTTAAATTATAATACTTCTTGTGTGGATGATATTAAAGTCAAGTCAGCGTAACTGGTAGAGCACTTGCATGAAGATAGGTTGAACCTGGAAATTGTATTTTTTTATTTATTTCTTATTAACATTAATATTAGAATAGATAGGCCTATTTAGTTAATAATTATTAAATATACATTTACTAATACTAATACTTAACCTTACACACAAAAGAAATGTATACACATTTAGAATGTCGTTTGTGAAAGATCAAACAGTAGGCCTAGCCTATAAAATAAAATTATGCCGTCTGCATAAAATAGACTACGTGAAAAGAGAAGGACTTAAATTATAATACTTATTGTGTGGATGATATTAAAGTCAAGGCAGCGTAATGGGTAGAGCACTTGCATGAAGATAGGTTGACCCTGGAAATTGTATTTTTTATCTCTTTTTTGTTTTTTATTAGCATTAGTCTTAGAATAGATAGGTCTATTTAGTTAACGATTATTAATTATACATCTACTAATACGTCATATATTTAACCTCACACACAAAAGCAATATATGCACAATTAGAGTGTTGTGTGTGAAAAAACAACCAGTAGGCCTACCATATAAGATAAAGTTATTACTAGGAACAACAATGGAGAACATGTTTTCATCACACATATTTAATTAAATCCAACTGATTCCCTTTCGAGTTCAAACGCCTGCAGTTCCCAGTCAAATTAATCTTTGCGATGTGAATCAACAAAGTACAGGGCCAGTCTCTGAAAGTAGTGGGACTTGAATTGGACAACTCAACGTTGGATGCTCAACAGTGGGGAAGAATAATGGCTTATTTATCCTTGTCAGTGAAGGAAAAATAAAAAATATTGTTACGTCTCCGTTTGTTAATTGATTTTTCCGTAACTTCGTTCCGACGAAACTTTGACGATACAAGTCTTTACTTAATAAAACTGGTTTATTCTTTCCGAATATAACTTTACGATACACTTAATTTCAATATTCGCGCTAAAACAAACACTATAACGAACGAACGTTAGCTTCAACAATACCCTGTGACTGCAGTTCAGTTACTCACTATCTACACACACAATATTCCCCGTCACGTTGTCACCCTCTTTTATATACCAGACT